AAAAAATAAAGCTAATGATTTTCCTAGGATCAGGACAAAATGAGAGAGGGCTGGCCACCCTACTATAAAAATAGAACACTGCCGGGCGTGGTAGCACATGCCTGTAGTCCCAGCACTTGGGAGGCGGAGGCAGGCGGATCTCTGTGAGTTCAAGGCCAGCCTGGTCTACATAGTGAGTTCCAGGACAGCTAGGGCTTTACAGGGAGACCCTGCTTCAAAAAGACCAAAAAAAAAAAAAGAGAAAATAGAATACTGCACTTAGTACTACAGGGGCAGGGGATACAAAAGAACAAAGTTCTGCTGTATGAACATGAATCAATCACAGATGTATTATGCTAAGTTAAAGGAGTCACACACAGGAGCTGGAGAGATGGCTCAGAGGTTAAGAACACTGGTTGTTCTTGCAGAAGACCCAGGTTCGAATCCCAGCGCCCACATGGCAGCTAACAACTGTCTGTAACTCCAGACCCAGGGGATCTGATGGTCTCTTCTGTCTGCAGGCACTGCACAACATGGCTGTATTTACCTACAATGTAGGCAATACACGCATACACATAAAATAAAAATAAATAAAAATTTTTAAAAAGAGACACACAGAAGACTATTCAGTGCATAATTCCTTCTCAATAAGATTCTGAAAAAGACAAAAATCTAGGGAGAGAAAAAAAATGTCTTCAGGGCCAGTATGGAAGAGGGCACCGAATAAAAAAGGATGCATGAAACTTTTAGGGGTGATAGAAATGCTCTATGTCTTGATTGTGATACTGGCTACCTGACTGTACATGTTTGTCAAAGTTCATACAACTAATAGGTTAAAAGAGGACAAATCTTAGTACATCTTCTACCTCAATAACCTCTAACTTGAAAGAAAGAAAGAAAGAAAGAAAGAAAGAAAGAAAGAAAGAAAGAAAGAAAGAAAGAAAGAGAAAGAAAGAAAGAAAAGAATGTAGTGGGCTGTAGAGATGGCTCAGTGGTTAACAGTCCTGCTCTTCCAAAGGACCTAAGTTGGGCTCCAGCATCCATGTTGGGCAGCTCATGACTGCCTAGAACTCCAGCTTGAGGCGATCTGATACCTTCCCCTGGCTTCCATGGGCACAGACACACACTTGTAACTTCAGAACTCAGGAAAGAGACAAGGCAGATTTCAAGTTCAAGGCCAACCCAGGATAGCCAACAGGTTGATAAGTGGGTGGTAGGTAGACAGAATAAGTGAATAAACAGGTGAAAGATGGGGACTCTGGTTTTGGGGGATATTTTGTTCTGCTTTTTGCCCTTTTTTAATAGTCTCACTATATAGCCCGTGAGCTCAAGACCCTCCCACCTCAGCCTCCCAAATGATGGGGACTACAGGCATCTAAAACATGCCTGGCTCTGGGTTTTGGTTTTTAAAAGCATACTTACAGAAGAATTAAGTAAAGTTCTAGAAAGAAAATGTCCAAGCCAGGTATAGTGATACACACTTATTGTCGTAGCTTATCAGACTGCAACACTGGGAGACAGACCTAAGGAAATCATCTAGAATGCAGTACAAAAACACCAGAGAAATACAAAAGACAGGCTAAGGATGTATATAACTAGTTAACAGACCGCTTGCCTAGCATGCACAAAGCCGGAGTAGTATATAAACTGGGCATGGTCTGGAGGCTGAGGAAGAAAAATGGATCATGAATCAATGCTAATCTAAGCTACATATAGTGAGATCCTGTCTCAGGGGGGGAAAAAAAAAAAAACAGGGATAGTGAGATAGCTCAGCAGGAAAAGTGCTTGCTGCTATGCAAGCCTGATGACTTGAGTCATTGGATCTCCAGAATCCACATAGAGGTGCCAGGAGAGAACCAACTCCACAAAGCTGTCTTCCAATACATAACACTATAGTGCAAGCACTCTGGCATGTGCATCACCCACACATACCAATAATAATTTTTGTTGTTGTTGTTTTCATGAGACAGGGTCTCCCTGTAGCCCCAGCTGGCCTGGGACTCACTATGTAGACCAGGCTGGCCTCAATCTCAGAGAGCCATCTGCCTCTGCCTCCTGAGTGCTGAGATTACAGGCATGTACCACCATGCCCAGCATTAAAAAAATTTTTTTTTTAAGGGGAGTGGTCAGCAAGATGGCTCAGTAGGTACATGAGTCCTTGGCATATACCCAAAGGACACATCCTACTGTGGAGAAACTTATACAACCATGTTTGTTGCTACTCTTTTCACAATAGCTAAGAGATGGAAGCAACCTAAGTACCCCTCAGCTGATGAGTGGCTAACGAAAATGTGTAAAGAAAGATGCAGTAAAGAAAGATGAAATAATGAAATTTACAGGATCTAGAAGCTGTTATACTAAATGAAGTTAACATGGACTCAGAAAAACAAAAGATGCATGTTCTCCCTCATTTGTGGATCCTAGCACCATCCCAGCACCAAATCCTTGTAAGTGAGTGCGTATCCTGATGCAACTGCAGGAACCAAGAATATGGAAGGGAAACAGGGAGGTAAAGGGAAAGAAGGAACCCGAGAGAGAATAGTAGGTGAAAGGTGTTACTGAGGGAGAAATATGTAAAAGGGGGTAAAGGGGAGGCAGGGAAGGAGGGTTATACAAAGAACTATGGGAATAAAGGGGAGAAAAATTCTCCAGATACACAGCTTAAAAAGAAAAAAAAAAAAAAAAAAAAAAAGCCTTAAGCACAGAAGGAATCCTCTGGGGATGGAAGAAGGCCCTTTCAGAAGCAATACAGTTGGTTGTTAAATGAAAATCCCAGTGCCAGAGGTGGGTTGCCCCCTGTGAGCTGTTGGCCTGAGGGGGCCTGGAAGTCCCCCAAGCAATAAAGGCCATTGCCAATAATGTTGGTTTTACACCAGAAGTGGACGGAGGGACCCTATTGCTGAAGACACTGCTTGATGTGAGCACAGGAAAGGGAGAAATCAAGCTTGGACTAAGCCAGAAACTCCCTGCCACTGGATGAGTGGCTTCCATGGTGCCAAAAGGCAATATGCAGATGACTAGGGGAGAATCATCCCCTACAATTCTGCTCAATGATGGACCCCATGTGTTACAAGGTGTTCCTGCTGGTGCAATAATAGTGGAGCATCTAGTGTATGTACAACCGGCAAATTTTCAATTGGATAAAATGCCTGCTCCTAAGGGTGGAACACACATCTGGTACTGTACACCAGACCAACCCCCCAGGAAGAATTCCAGTGGAAAGCCACTGCAATTGTTTCATTAGAAGGATGTGATGCACCTGCTAAAGTACTGTCCAAGTGTTTGTGTTTACACTCATAGGTTATTATAGCAGCCACTGTTTAGATGTTCTTGCTTCTTGCTGTTTGTGTTTTTATAGTAGACGGAATCCCACTGAAATGGGCCAATAGCTTATAGAAAACTGATGATGCAGAGACCCAAAAGTTCAGTGCCTTGCCACAATAGGAGGATGATCATCCCACACCTACCACTGCCTCCAAGGCTCAGGGACTTTTGCAGAAGAGATTGGCAGAAAGAATGTAAGAGCCAGAGGAAGGGGTGGAGTGTTAAGTGTACTCTGACCACTATATGGCAAGTGTCCTAGTTTGTTTCTTCATTGCTATGATAAAACACTCTGACCATTACCAACTTGGGGAGGAAAGGGTTTATTTATCTTACATTTCCCAGATCACAGTTCATCAGGGAGCCCAAGGTAGGAACTCAGGGCAGGAACCTGGAGGCAGGAGCTGGAACACAGGCCATGGAGGACCACTGCATACAGACTTGCTCCCCTGACCCCTGCTCAGCCTGCTTTCTTATGCAACACAGGCTCACCTTCCCAGGGGTGGCACCACCCACAGTGGGCTGGGCTCCACCACATCACTCACCAAGAGGATACCCCACAGACATGGCCACAGGCCAGTCCAATAGAGGCAATTCCCCAATTGAGGGTCCCTCAACCCAGGTGTGTCAAGTTGACACTAAAGCTATCCAGCACAGCAGGCTATAGTCACACCTCCTTCCCACACTCATCAAGGAGTTGAGGGGGAAATCAGTCACTCCTCCCACCCACCCAGTCCACCTTAGCCGCATGTGGGGGAGGGGCTAAGGATACATAAGCTGAGAATGCCAGGAGGCACCTCTCTCACTACTTTCTGTGGCTGTCAGCTGTTGAAAAGTCACAGGATCTATATTTGAGTGTGGACTTTCCAGTGCAGTTGTAAATGGAGGGTGCCCACTCCTCTGTAAATAAAGCCCTACCCTATGGCTCTGTTAAAAAAGAAAAGAAAATGATAGGTGTTTGGATAGATAGATGAGAGGGATCTAACTAGATTGCAAATGGATGGACTTGCACTGGGGAATGTCTGAGGATACTGACTTGACACAGTGGGCCTTAACACCCGGGACAGAGTATATGGGTTTCAGTGGCGGGGGAGGGGGGTGCTTTGGGAGGGTGCTGGTGGGGTTGTAAAGATGATTCAGATTGAGATAGTCAGTATGAAATACAACAAAATTTAATAAAAACAAATTTTAAAAGGAAAACAAGGGGGAGGGGATCAGCAAGATGGCTCAATAGGTAAGGGAGCATGCCTCCAAACCTATAGGCCTGAGTTCAGTTCCCAGGACCAATGACCCACATGGTTGAAGGACACAACCCACTCCTAAAAGTCCTCTAATTTCCACATGCATGTGGTGGCATATGTGTGCCAACACACGCGCGCGCACGCACACACACACACACACACACACACAGTATTTCAAAAAAGAAGTGGCACACACCTTTAATCCCAATACTTGGGAGACAGAGGCAGGTAGATCTCTGTACTATAGTGGCCAGCCTGGACTACATAGTGAGTTCCAAGGCCAGGTGGAACTACGGTAGACTACCTCAAAAAGCAAAACAAAACAAAATAGTAATTATTATTTTGGCTAAAGTATAAAACAAAAGAAGGAAATAAAATTTAAGGACAATAATACACTGAAATGAAAACTGCTGAATTTGAAGTATTCTAGGGTCTTTGTACTTTATAAATAATAGGTATGTGCATACTTTGGCAGCACATACACTAAGGCTGAGCAATACAGAAAAGGTTAGCATGACCCCTGAACAAGGATAACATGCAAACTCATGAAGTGGTCCATATTAAAAATAGGCTGGGTGTGGTAGTGCACACCTTTAATCCCAGCACTCAGGAGGCAGAGAGGCCAGCAGATCTCTGTGAGTTCAAGGTCAGTCTGGTCTACATAGTGAGTTCCAGGCCAGCTGGGGTTACAGGGAGACCGTCTCAAAAGACTAAAAAATAAAAAATAAAAATAATGCCAGGCATGGTGGCACATACGTTTAATCCCAGCACTTGGGAGGCAGAGGTAGGCAGATCTCTGAGATCGAGGCCAGCCTGGTCTACATAACTAGTGGAAGGCCAGCTGGAGCTACAGGGAGACCCTAACTCAAAAAGACACAAAAATAAATAAATAAAGGGGGCTGGAGAGACGGCTCAGCACTTAAGAGCACTGACTGCTCTTGCAGAGAACCCAGGTTTGGTTGCCAGCACCCACTGATGGCTAACAAAACCACCTGTAACTCCAGTTCCAGGGTATCTGATGCCCTCTTCTGGCTTCCAAAGGCATTGCTCCCACATGGTACTCTACATAGATGAAAACAAAACACTCATACACATAAAAATAAATAAGCAAATAAATAAATAAAAATTTAAAGACATGCATACATATAGGCTAAAGAGATGGATCAATGGTTAAAAATACATTCTGCTCTTACAGAGGACCTGAGTTTGGGTCTGAGCACCCATGTTAGGTGGCTCACAAGCACCTTAACTCCAGCTTTAGAGACCAGACACATCCTCAGGCACACACAATAAAATAAATAAAAATAAATCTTGAAAAATATACATACACATGCCACACCAGCACTGTTTACAATTATCTCAACTTATGCTGGTTTCAAACTTTAAATGAAAACACACTCTAAAATTAGAAAACCCAGTTTCAAATCCCATTCTTCTTCTTCCCTGACCACTCTAAATCTTTTTGTCCTTCTGCTTCTTACAATGTTGGAGCAGAACTCAAAAGTTCTCAAAACCACTAAGGAATATAATGCGAACCTATTCTAGAAGTACTCACACTTGCTTTATTTGGAAGTTTGCCTTTAGAGGAGCTGTCAGGTAAATGTTGGTTGCCAGGGGCTTTTCAAGCCCTACTCTTTTTAAACTCCAAAAGAAACAGAACAAAAAGAAAAGTAAAAAGATATATCCATGGTAACTACTTTTTATTTTGCTATAAATTTTCTAATTTAAAAAACATATGCTAAACAGAAATGATCCTATATTCCATACTTATGATAAAAGTTCTACATGTTGTTTAAAATAATGTAATTGTTACTTCAAATGTTAAACCTATTCAATAATTTAATTTGTAATATTATAAACTAAAGATTTTATGATAAAACCCAAGCTGCAAAACTAAATACTGGGCAATCAAATCAGACTCCTCCTTGATTTCCAGGGCTGTAAACTTGAACAGGCTATTAGGATTTCTTCACTGGCTGGTAGTAACTTTGACAAAGTCCCGACACAAATCATCAGATGCCAACAGCAACTTCAAACTGTCCTTCAAACTGGATTTAGGGTTTTAAATCCAATTTATCTTTTTTCTTCGAGATTTGGTTTTGACATGTAACTTAGGCTGGCCTCAAACTTGAAAACTTTGTGCCTTCCAAACGCTGGGAATCCACGCATGTGTCACCACAATCCTACTACGATCTTGATTTAGAACAAAACCCAAAATGAAACACGTAAATTTAGTGATAAAGGAAGAAAAAAGTTTAGGACATCAATCTTCTCACTGTGATATTTATTTGGGGGTAAACTAGAACCAGAGCACGAACAAGGAAATTGTGAAAATACAAAGATTTCATTAATACAGATTGTAATTTATATAATTTATTATAATTTTCCCCATAAAACCTATCAACCTTTCAAAATAGGACTCTTTCTTAATGTACTGACCACCCCAAATAATTTAGTAAAGCAAGCAATGAAATTTTGTGTGTCCCTTCCCATCTCCACCCTAGGGACCTAGGCCACGGTTTGCTTGAATACTAAGAGTATGGTATGAAATATTTAAAGCAGTGACTAAAATTTTCCTTACCAGTCCATCCAAACTCTTCAAGCTTTACTACTAAGAAGTAGAATCAGCTCTAGACATTTAAACAGATTACTATTCCACTATTACACTCAGGTTTCTCTACATTTAATATTTAGGAAGAAGGAGGTAAAGAGGGAAGAAAAGGAACATAATTAATTTTGCTTATAAAACGTTCACTATAGTTGTAGTGTCTATGAGCTGTATAGCCTATTGGGAGTCTAATAGATTTCAGGGTATTATGATTTGAGTAATAGAGGTGGGGGCTTGTGGTGGAAATCAATAAATGGCTACTACTTCTTTGCACAGCTCCATATGGAAGTAATCAAGCGCAAGGGTGGCAGCTGGGGCCAATGACAGTCACCTGCAGTTGAGGGACATGGGGGTTTCAGATGGGTTTTTAATGCTAATTTCCTACAGAAACAATGAGCTAGAAGGAGCAGAGTAACAGACGAGGACGGATGAAGAGAGACCAGCCAGAACAATGGCTGCACCTGGTGCTGGGAGCAGAGGGACAGAGCCGGCACGCGACCACAGGCAGCAGAGGGCACATCTGTCACCCTCAAAGTGGCCCATCCCCCAGCTCTTCCAGCCCAGTAAGTAATACATGGTCTCTAAACAGCTTGTCATGCAGCAACAGGTTTGAGTTTTTAAGGCTACTGCCTTCTCTACACGAACCCACTCTCTTATGACTAAGAATTAGTTAAGGAAGCAGAGCTGCTTCCCAGTCAGTCAAAAAAAAAAAAAAAAAGACAAACATTTTAACTAAACCTTTTCATTATTACAACTTCAGTGTTTTCGGGGACCAAGAAAAATCACATGGGAAGATAAACCTTATTAAGTATTCATGTAGCAAATATTCTACTAGTTATAAATTTAATGCTGAGAATTCATTTTACTCCCATCTTACAGCTAAAGAAATAGAGCCTTAGAGAAGGATAAGCCAGTGCTCAGAGCATACACACAATGTTTTCACGTCTTAAGAAAGTTATTTCCTCTGTCTTTCTTAGCTAACACAAATGAAAATATACATTCTATGGCTAGGCATGATGGTACATGCTTGCAATCCCAGCACCTGGGAAGTAAAAGCATAAGATCAGAAGTTCAAAGTCCTCCTTGGCTACAAGTAGAGTTTGAGGCCAGTCTGGAAGTACATGAGAATCTGTCTCCAAAAGACAAAGAAAATCCATATTCTACTTACTTTTGCTCCAACTATGAGAGGTAACGACAGACAGTATGTACAGTATATACAGAACTGCACCCCTACCTTGCCACTTATCTCTAAAAAGTGGCTCAGGATTGAAAGATATAGTATTTCCACTGGTAGTTCTTTATTTTTCTTTATTTTATTTTATTTTTATGTGTATGCGTGTATTGCCTGCATGTAGGTAAGTGCACCCATGTTGTGCAATGCCGGTGGAGGTCAGAAGAGGCTGTTGAATCCCCTGGGACTGGAGTTACGGACAGTTGTTAGAGGCCACGTGGGTGCTGGGATTCGAACGTGGGTCTTCAAGAACAACCAGTGTTCTTAACTGCTGAGCCATCCCTCCAGCTCCCCCCTGGTGGTTCTTTAAACTAAGCAGAGAACTGCTTGCTTTCTTAGGTTTTGGCTTGCTTTAGAAAAGTAAATCCATATGCATTTTCAATTTGCCACCATAACTCTGTCACGATGTAATTTGCTCTGTGTGTGTGTGTGTGTGTGTGTGTGTGTGTGTGTGTGTGTGTTTCATTTGTTTATTGTGGTTGCTAGGTACTGAACCCAGACCCTTACAAAATCAAGTTTTTTTGCTGTTCTTGTGCTGAGGACTGAGTCTAAGACTTAATGAATGCTAGGCACTCTTTGCTGTGCTATTTCTGAAGTCCTTTTTTACCTCTTATTTTAAGATAAAATCTCATTAAACTGCCCAGGCAGACCTTGAACTGACTCTGTACCCCTGGCAGGCCTTGAATTTTTGATCCTCCTGTGAAATTAACATTACAAGTCTGAACCACCCAGTGCAACTAACCACATAGCTTTTGAAAGTTAAATGCTGTTTGGGAAGCCTGTCAGCCAGCAGGATTATAGCAATCCATTTAATGGATTATTTTTCTCTAAGACACAGCCACCAATTCCTTTATTAACTGATTTGAGCTTGGAGAAAAACTACATTCTAACACAGCAGAAACCTTTCAAATTTGAATTGTTGGGATACAAATCACAAATTCATGGGGAGAGAACATGTATGTATATTGGCAAGTGTCTCACAAGCAAAAAATTGCTCTTGAATTTGAAAGACATCTATAGCTAGGCATAGTTCAAAACACTGCAAGGGGCTAAAAGAGATGGCTCATCAGTTAAGAACCCATACTACTCTTTTCAGAGGACCCAGTTGAGTTCCCAGCACCCAGGTCAGGCAGCTCACAAACACCTGTAACTTCAACTCCTGCCCCTGGCCTCCCAGGGCACCCACCATCATGTGCACATACCCACACACACAATTTTAAAAATTAAACAAAACAAAAAAGCAGACTAATAAGCATGGTGGCACATGCCTGTGAGGCAAATCTAAAGCTAAAGGCCAGCCTTGGCTACAAAGTGAGCTCAAGGCTAGTCCAGGTAACATAAGACCCTGTCTCAAAACAGCAAAAACACAACAGAAATTAACTAAGTGTAACCATGCATTTGACAAAGTTTACCCTTAAGAACCCTGCGGTCTATGGAAAGTGAACCTTTCATCTATCTACCCACTATGCCCCATCAAAACACAAGGATTATAAATTAAATGATACCTCCTCTACGAAGAGTCTGATTCCCTCAACTTACGATTATTCCCTCAACTTATGGTATAATAATGCACTTAACAACTAGAGTGTCCTAAAGAAGCTTCCGCAGGGCCAGCAAGTGGCTTAGCAGGGAAAGGCACTTGCCCACAAGGCTAGTAACCTGAGTTCCATCCCTGGAACCCACATGGTGGAAGGAAAAACTGACTCCTGCCAAGTTGTCTTCTGAC